TTCTTGAAGGTCTCAATCGTCCTTATCTATATACCTAAGTCAGAAAAATCGCTGGTGGTAGTCGATTCCACAAGTTGTGTGAGTAAGAAAACTTCTGAAAACTTCTCTTCTTTTCTTCTTGACGGATTCCCTCAAAAACTCCAAACAAAATTATTGTACAACCATTGCGTGTTGCCAGTGGCTACTGGCCGTATAAGGAAGCTCTAGGTCGCTCAGCGAGCTATGGAGAGGTTTATGCTAGGACTAATGTCGGGGTTTTTCTGCGTGATAGACTTAATAAACGAGGATATCCATAGTAGAACTAGAGTAACCGACATTGCCCATCGAATTAGTAAGCTAAAGTGGCAATGGACTGGCTATATAGCTCGAAGAACCAACAACCGATGGGAAAAAAAGGTTCTCGAATGGCAGCCTCGTACCGGCAGGCGAAATGTACGGCGTCTAGTCTAGCCGTTGTCGGCTTTTCGAACAACGTCAAACGCGATGACTGACTGAATGTTCTTGTACTGTGTTATAGTTGTAGCACGAAGTGGTCAAATCGACCGAAGTAGGACCACGCCCTCACAGAATATCAACATAAAACAGTAACTTAATGCTACTGTGTTTCGTATGGTCAGTGTAGAGAACTGGAGACCCTTTTTACTGGAAACGAGTCAATTCATCTTAGTTCTCAAGGGTGTCAACTAGACATGGGACGAGTACTCGGTTTGGATTCGGTACTCGGCGGATTCGGCCTTTTTTAGGGATCGGCCGAGCACCGAGTATTAACGGCCGAGAACCGAATACTCGGCCTTAATTATATTCCATAGAAAAATAAAGACAAAAAGGCAGTTTTTATCATTGTTATTATATTCATCATTACAGCCCTTCACAAGTCCACTGCTGAACATAGGCCTCCCCCAAGGAATGCCACAAAACACGGTCCTGAGCCACCTGCATCCATCGACTTGCTGCATGTCTCACTAGGTCGTCACTCCATCTAGTGGGGGTCGCTCTACACTTCGCCTACCGGTACGAGGCTGCCACTCGAGAACCTTTCTTCTCCGTCGGTTGTCGGTTCTTCGAGCTATATGGCCGGCCCACTGCCACCTCAGCTTACTAATCCGTTGGGCTATGTCGGTTACTCTGGATCTACTACGGATATCCTCATTTCTAAGTTTATCACGCAGAGACACCCCAAGCATGGCCCTCTCCATAGCTCGCTGAGCGACCTTGAGCTTCCTCATACGGCCAGCAGTGAAGGACCACGTCTCAGATCTGTAAGTCATCACTGGCAACACGCACTGGTTGTACAATTTCGTACAGTTTGTACAGTTTCCCGTACGCTGCCCAGCCGAGTTGAATCCGTCGATTGACCTCTCGGTCGAAGTTGGACTTACCTAGTCGGACTATTTGTCCCAGGTAAACATACTCGTCAACAACTTCGAGCTCAGTGCTCCCAACAACTACCGGCATAGGTGTGACATGGACATTAAACATGATCTTTGATTTGTCTATGTTCATCCTAAGACCTATCCGTTGGGAGACACTATTGAGGTCATTGAGCATAGTGGTTAAGTCCTCCAGCGATCCTGCCATAAGAACTATATCGTCGGCAAATCGAAGGTGAGCGATGTACTCGCCATTGATGTTAATACCGTATCCTTTCCAGTCCAGAAGCTTGAAAACGTCTTCCAATGCAACGGTGAAGAGTTTCGGGGATATAACGTCACCCTGTCTTACACCTCTCTGCAGTTGGATAGGTTTCGTACTCTGATTCTGTACTCGGATAGCCATCGTAGCTCTAGTGTACAAACACTTCAGCACTTCGATATACCGACAGTCAACTTGGCACCGCTGAAGGGACTGCAGCACCGCCCAAATTTCGACGAAATCAAAGGCTTTCTCTTAGTCCACATACGCAAGGCAAAGTGGCAGATTATACTCCTCTGTCTTCTGTACAATCTGCCGCAGGGTATGCATGTGGTCTATGGTACTAAAGCCTTTTCGGAAACCGGCTTGTTCGGGAGGCTGGAAGTCGTCAAGCCTGCGTGCGAGACGATTCGTAATGACTCTCGAAAACAGCACGTAGACGCGGCTCAGAAGGGAAATCGGTCTGTAGTTCTTCAAGAAAGGCGACAACGCTCTCTTGAAGAACTACAGACCGATTTCCCTTGAACAAGACCACCGCACTTCTGTTCCACGCCTCCGAAGTAGTGCCACCATGGAGGACGGAATTAAAGAGCTTCTGAAGGACTTCAAGACTTGCCGTTTTTAAGGTGCTGGGTAGCCATTCTAATCTCGCTCAGACTGACGTCCGGGATATCTTCGGAATAGTGTCGGATAAGACTCGCTCTTGGATCGTTACTTACACTTGCGTGTGGCTCCAACGATGACGTGTACAGCTGCCCATAGAACCTCTCAATCTCACTCAAAATCTCATGTGTCCCGGAAACGATGCTGCCACACTCGGTCTTCAGCTTTGACAGTTGGCTCTTTCTGGCAGACAGATCTCTGGCAGACTTTGGAGCCTTGGTTCTGCTCGATCGCTTCTTCAACACCAAAATATTGCATTATGTTTTTGTTCAGGCGTTACTCTAAAAAAATATAAAATATAGCATGTAACTACATTTAGTTACATGCTATATTTTATATGACGATACAATAGTTATAGGATGTATCTAAGTGACCTTTATCCGAACGTTAAATGTGAATAGGGTTTATTGGTTTCGGTGCGAGAAGTTATCGAATCCGAGTCGATTTCGCTTTCCGAGACGATTGTGAATAGCCCGGCTGTACTCGGATAGCCATCGTAGCATGAACTGTACAAACATTTCAGCATTTCGATATACCGACAGTCAACTTGGCTGTCGGTGTATCGAAGTGGCTGGCTGTGCAAGTGGCTGAAAGGACTGCAGCACCGCCGAAATTTCGACGGAATCAAAGGGTTTCTCTTAGTCCACATACGCAAGACAAAGTGGCAGATTGTACTCTTCGGTCTTCTGTACAATTTGTCGAAGGGTATGTATGGGGTCTATGGTGCTAAAGCCATTTCGGAAACCGACTTGTTCGGGAGGCTGGAAGTCGTCGAGTCTATTTGAGAAACGATTCGTAATGACTCTCGAAAACAGCACGTAGACGCGGCTCAGAAGGGAAATCGGTCTATAGTTCTTCAAGAGAGTATTGTCGCCTTTCTTGAAGAATAAGCCCACAGAACTTCTCCTCCAAGCCTCCGGAGTAGTGCCACAATGAAGGACGGAATTGAATAGCTTCTAAAGGACTCCAAGTACCGGTTTTCCAGCCGCCTTCAGAAGCTGCGTTGTAATCTATACTCGCCCTTCTGTACTTGCCATAGTGCTGGAGAGCCATTCTAATCTCGTTCAGACTGACGTCCGTCACGAACCGGTCATCGGAATAGTGTCAGAATAGTGCCTGGAAATTTTTACCTGCAGGACAAACTCCGTAGACGACCGAAAAACCCTAGTTGACAAATAAGAATTAAAAGTATTCGTGGAAGCGCAAACCACGACAGAGTTAACGGCAAGCTTCGGTGTGATTTTGCTTCACTTAAAACAAATTAGAAAAGTGAAAGTCATGAATTGAATGAAGCACACCAACAAACACGGGTAGAGTGCTATGTTAGATTACTCAACCGTCACTATAACGAGAGTATTTTGAATCGTACTTGTGATGAAAAATGGATCTTGTACGATAATCGGAAACGCTCATCAAAAATGATAGAACCCCGGAGAACTGTCAAATCCTACATTATAGCTGCAGAACGAATAAGTCAGCTCGACAGTTGTGGGACCACGCTCTCACAGAATATCAGCGTACAACAGCAGAATAATTCGGTGTTTCGTATGGTGAGTGTAGAGAACTGTTCCCTTTTTACTGGTAAAAAAGCATTTCATCTTAGTCCTTAGGGCGACGATTGATAATCGGGTAATAATTGATAATTTAGATGTACCCATACACATCTAAATTATCAATTATTACCCGATTACGCAGCTTGTCACCTTTATTCTACATATAAAAAAAATTAACCGACTTCAAAAAGGAGAAGGTTGTCAATATTTTTTATCGAAGACGCCTTGGATAATTATATTTTATTTCAAAGGAAATACTTCCCAGGCAGCCCCAAATAAATTTAATTAAGGTTTGACCAATAGTTTTTTAGTCATCCTTAATAGTTTACATTGAAGTCGGTCGTACAAAATTTTTAATTTTTCTTGTTTATTGTGTGATCTCATCTTTTAAGTGTAAAAGGTGAAGTATAAGTGAAGCCAAATCGAAAATTGACTCAGAAAAAGTTACCAGGGTATGGTGGACCAGTGCTGGTATCGTGGTATCATCCACTACAGCTTCCTGATATCTGGCCAGACGATTACGGCAGATCTCTATTGTCAACAATCGCAAACCATGATGGAACAGCTAGCCGTTAAACAACCGAGACTGATCAACTGAGCAGAGCAATTGCTCTAATCTAGTGCTGCTTCAGGACAACGCTAGATCTAGCTAGCAGCCGCTAAATTAGAGAAACTGCGAATGGAATGTCTCCGACACCCACCATACTACCCGGACCTTGCTCCAAGAGATTATCACTTTTTCCGGAATTTTGACAATTTTGAAAAAGGAAAAAATTCAATTCCGGTGAGGCAATCAAAACCGCCTTCAATGATTTATTGATTTTCGCGCCCATAATTTTCTCAGCAAATGAATCAATGCACTACCTATAAAATATCGAAAGTGCATAGATAATAATGGTACATATATTGATGGATTAAATATTTTCTAGTATAAAACGCCAATTTCATATGTAAGAACTTAATATTAGGATTTTATATTATATGCATAATATATGTATGTGGGGAAAAGGGAAATTTACAAAAAAAAAACACATTTTGAATACGTTATAAGTATACTTTTATAAAATATTTTCAGCCTATCGAAACATAATCCTACAGGATCTAAAAATATATTTACACAAATAAATGAAAGGCGGAACCAGAACTTGGCGCTCATTCGTCGAGAAGACGCTCCGGAGCGGGGAAGCCGCGTGCCGACATCTGATCGGGGGCGGGGGAAGCGTGTGGCGCCGGGGAGGCGGCAGGCGACGCCGCTGGAGACGCGCTGCCCAGTGGAGAGGGGATAGTGGCGTACACGGTCGGCCTAGGCGGCTGATACGAAGGCGCGTACGTGTCGCTCCTGGGGTTGTAGAAGGGGGAATCGTCCGCACAGCAGTCCAAGTTGGGCGAGTACGGGGTCGCGGCGCCGCACGACGGCGCGTCGTCGCTGGGCCGGTAGGCGGGCGCCACCGGCGCGTACACCGTGCGGCGCGGCGGCTCGGCCTCGGGCTTGTGGTGCGACGACGGCGCGTACGCGTCCGACCAACGCGCCTTACTCGGTGTAAAATCACCCTTGACGTACAACTGGATCGGTCGACGGAAACCCTTGCTCGCGTGTTGCGGCACGCCCAAAATGCAGCACTTACTGAACCCGACCTCCGGCGAGAGCAGGTACTCGCGGAATTTATTCGGGAACAGCTCGATGGAGTTGAAGTTTTCGTAAATTGTTGGCTGAAACAAAGATAACCGTTTTGAATAATCACATAAATCTTTTTGGACTTCATTCACTAGGTGGTTCATTCGGTGGTACCCCTTTTTTGCCTAGGAACCGTTTGGGTAGGTATCGTCCTTTTACATAACTTTGCCGCCAAATAGCTATAACTACAGGCTATGAGACATTGGATCTTAGTCCTCAGAGATGTCAACGCATTAACTTTGACGTTGGTCGCAGGTGTCCAAGCACTGCAGTAGGCGTTTACCATCAAGTGGACCCTAAGTTCGTTTCTCACTTCAATTTTATAAAAAAAAAACGTAATCGTCCATATGTCGACGCTACACGACGATAATTTATTTAATCAGTTACATATTACTAGATGGCTACACAAATTTTAGTAATGAACTAACGTTAAATAATCTGTGGTTAGAAAAAAAATACAATATCTAATAAATAATTTTGATTTAGGTACGTAATATTTGTACACCCAATAGTTGAATGCATCGAACGAAATTAGTTTTTTGAAGAATTATGCTTTCTCACTACCTGTAAAACCTGCTACTGAATATATTTCTATTAGAATATATTTTCTAAGTTTTATTTCTTAGACACTTGGCCCTTATCTAAAAAAATATTGCGATATTTTCATTTAATATAAAGTTATTAAAGTTTATTCAGTAATGTGTGTTTTCTTGCAGCGGAGAAGTAGGGCAAGCAGCGCAGCGCGCATGCGTAGGAGAGGGAAGTTTCTTCTACCTCTATCACAGAATAAATAACAGTACTACGTACTCTGCCTCATGATAAAGATAGAGCCAGCCGCGCAACCACGCATTATTTACGCGAGCGACCTGATGCTGTTGTTGTACCTTGATCAATTGCCCCCCTTAGTTGCCGATAGTTTTCTCAGTAATTTTTTTTTTTCATATACAGTAGAATCTGTTTATTATGACTCCGTTTATATTGACCAACCGCTTATTATGACGTAATTACACAGCGAAGTTTGGTTTTCATACAAAATTCTTTATAACAAAGTTGGATATAATGACTCCGCTTATAGTGACATGTCGCTTATGGTGACCCATTTTTACTAAATTGTGTCCAGTTATAGTGACCGACATGATTCCTAACACCTTCGGCAGTGTTCAGGAGAGTCAATTGATACCCGGCGACGTTCGGTAATTGATTGTTGAAGGTCACGGCATTGTTTGTTTGTAATTTGTGAAAAAAATGAAATCTCAACGTCAGTGCATGTGCAGTTTAGAAAATGGAGAATCCAACTCATCTCTTGCAAGGGAATTTGGAGTTGGTCACTCGACAATCTCAATGATTTTTAAAAACAAGAATTTATTATTAAGAATTTAAGTTACTTCAATTAAAGATTTTTCTCTATTAAAATAAATACATACTCTTACTAACAAAAACTGGAGATTGTTTATTTTCTACAAAATGCTTTATATGACGTCCGCTTAGTATGAGGTGTTTGTTATTTCCCTTCGATGTCATTATAAACGGATTCCACTGTAATTAGTTTTCTTACAGTCGTATTTATATACGTATTATATATATATATATATATATATATATATATATATATATATATATATATATATATATATATATAATACTTTGTTAATATATCAAGCAACGCGGACGAAGCTAGTATGAAATAAAATGGAAAGAAATAAATCTATATTTCTTCGACGTGAGAAGCTGAAATTCGTTTCACGTTGCCTACTTATCAAATCTACTACCGTTTCGTATGGAGGTTCGTCTGACAGAAGAAGAAGAATAGCGAAAAAAGCTCTGCGGATATCCATAAAGCAAAACAAAGTTTTAACTCTGCAGTTAAAACTTTTCTGCGTTTTTCTATTGTTCACCTTACTTTCTTTTCTTTCTTAAAGGATGCCGATGACGATCTTTAGGTAGCCACATGCTGGTGCGATTCACTATAGTTTCCTGATTACATTTTCCTAAAGATGATGGCTACAGTAGGTAAGTAGGCACCGCACCACCTAGCTTCTGTAGCTAGCTTTAGTAGTTTTTAGTGGTTAGTTTGCTTTATTTCTCACTGTGTAATTTCGTGTTTCCCTGTTTATTTATTAATATTGATATTAATTACTAGTTCAGACAAGGATTTTCAGCACCGAAGTATTATTACAGGAAACTGTTCTATTGAATGCGTAAGACTGCAACTTGTTGCACACGACTGCTGCTCCCGGTTCCCAGGTCCCAGGTCCCGGGTTTGAATCCCGAGTTGAGCCAAAAAATCAGTTATTTTCTGTCAAGAAATTCCCAATTGGTGGTGTTTCACTTTCGTGCTTCGGAAAGCGCCTGATCTCTCTGCGGTTGTGTCGGATTACCATCGCGTCAGACAATAAGAGTGAGGGAAAAAAGTGCAGCGATGGTAGCTATATTTGGGTACTATAATCCTATCATGCGCAAATGGGTAGTCTCCATTGTAACTGGCGGCCGAGACTGAAATTTATTTGAAACATTTTTTTTAATAGAAGAGAAGGCAAACGAGCATGCGGCTCACCTGATGGTAAGTGACTAAGGCCACCCATGAACAACTGCAACACCAGGGGAATTGCAGGTGCTTTTTTCCTAAAGGTTAAGATCTTATCGGTCCAGAAAAATCACCGGTGGTAAACGATTCCGCAAAGAGGTAGTACGAGGAAGAAAACTCGCGATGTGCGTTCGTGAAATTTAGCGGCAGAATCCGGACAATTCCTCAGAGCACTCTCCGTGGTAAATGCGATTGAAAATGCAAAGAAATGCAACATCCCTTCACAGCGCCAGTGAATCGAGTCGATCAGTAAGAACTCGATCGTCGACGATTCCAGCCACTCTGCGCTGGATGAGATCAAGTGGAAGGAGCTGGCACTGATGGGTATGGTGGGTGACCCAGCTCAGAATTGACAGTTTGACTAGTGCCATGTAAAGTTGCAAGCGGTATGCAGCATGAAATACTGTTTCGCTTTGCTGAGCGGGTCAAGCTTTTCAGAGGTCAATTAAGCCTTCCCGTGACCACGAAACTGCACGTCATTCGATGTGTCGACGCAGAGAATTTCGTACAGGCTGAGGCAGCAACAGGAGTGTCCTGAAATTGAATAAATACGACAAAGGGGTTCTTTTTAGAGGTAAACGCGCAAACCTGTGTCTTCTGAGGGTTAAACTGAACTAGATTTAGTCACCCCCAACCCGAGACCTTGTTTAAGAACGACTCGACTTCAGACACCAATTTGTTTCGGTACTTGACGACGTGATACCGAGAAATATTGGCACATCCAGTGTAAAAATCTTCACCTCTGCTGTCGTCCGCATCGCAATGTATGCTACTGGTTTGTAATATATCATTGATATGGAGAAAAATCAGCGTAGGTGATAGCACGCAGCCTTGTTGGACACCAGCATTAATAGGCTTATAATCGGAGCATGCACCATCTACTACGACCTTCATGCTCCGATCGGCAAGGAAATTGGTGATCCAATTAAACAATTTTCCGGGAAGCCAATAGGAAGGAAGCTTCTGGTCAAGGCCTCATCTTTAGACTCCACTGCCTTCGCCAAGTCACGTAGACCAGAAAATCACTAGCTGATAGACCCCGGCGAAAATCGTATTGGCGGTCACAAATTAGCCTGGTTATTTTTGAGAACAAGGCCATGATGGTGAAAGGTCTGTAGTTGGACGGATCTGAGCAGCAGTCGCCTGTTTTAGGGATCGGGTGGACCAAAGCTGTCTTCCATGAATTCGGGACTACGCCTAGGGATTAAGAGTACGGGCAAAGACGCGTTATAACCGGTACCAGCACGGGGACAAATCTTCAGTACAATCGGAGGGACTTCATCGGGCTCACTCAAGTTTTTGACGTCCAGGGAGAGGAGTGCTTTGTGCACCAAGCGCTGTGTAAAGCGTACATCCGGCTTAGAGAACTCACACCGCGGTATGATCGGCGGTGTGTTCCCCCCGTCAGTTGGACGCAAAAAGGAGCCTAACAAATCGACTTCCTTCTTTGTGGCGTGTGATGGCTGACAGATGTTCCCTTGGACAGCTTTGGCGAGAGACAAAAATGCACGAGTTTTTGAAAGAAGGCGAAATAGTTTCTCGCCAATTCTGCCGATGTGCTTTGACTTTGCCATGGCAATAACTCTTTTCAAGGACCTGGAGACGGAATTATACTTCTTTTTATGAGCGATGGGCACCACAGAAAATGGAATAAAAAGTTCCATACTCTGAATTACCACATTTGCAATAGAATCATCAACATATTATATCAGAAAAGCATGTTTTATAATTTATACAGTCAAGTCTGGCAACTTCATCAATGGAAGTTAACTTTGCCATCAGGGATGTACTGGTACAAAATTACTATTAACACGGAAAACGTAACGTTTTTCGAGATATGCCAATTTCAAGCTTAAAATACAATAACTAATTGACAGCACTGCTTTCGATGTGCAACATGAGTTAATTTTGGCATTTTATTTTAACGCGGAATTGTACCGACGAAATAACCTCTGTTCAGTGCTCCAGAACTTTAGTTTTTTTTTTTTGTTTGAAATACCAAATGTAGGTATCTATATCTTTGTAACGTAATATTAATAATTATCAAATGTAATATATCGTGTTTAACATGTTGGTCTTAATATTTATCTATAAAACTAACTTGGCAAAGTTACTATACTAGTGATGCCACCATGTGAAGGTTACTTTGGCGTGTTTTGCTACAACCAATGGTTGTCACTTTCGACCTATATTTTTAAACGATTACCATTTAAACAAAGTGTTCTGTACTTGACATTCTATGTATGTATGTATGTTTGTATCGATGTTTCACCGTAGCAGCCCATTAGACCGATTTTACCAAATGATTTTAATTTGTAGAAATGTTTCATTAACTGGCCATATAAAAGTAAAATGTATTTAAAATAGATCACAAATATATGAAGTAATTTTAAAATGAAATTTTAATTTTTGAGCAAAAGGTGAATAACAAAAGCAAAAAAAAGTTGATGGAGCGACTCATTAGTGTTTCGGGACTTAACTACTACTAAGGATTAAATTTCATCATCATCATCTCTAACATTTCACAAATCCACTGTTGAACATAGCACAGGAATGCCACAAAGCACAGGACCATGCATTGTGGCATTCCTTGGGAGAGGCCACATACATCCATCAACTTCCTGCATGTCTTAGTAATTTGTCACTCCATCAAGCGGGGTAGTGCCCTATACTTCGCTTACTGGTACGATTCTGCTGCTCGAGAACCTTTCATCCCTATGGGAAATCAGTTCTGCGAGCTATATGGCCGCCCCATGGCTATTTAGGCTACCGATCCGCTGAGTTATATCAGTTACCCTTGTTCTGATACGGATATCCTCATTTCGAAGTCTGTCACGCAGAAACTCCGAGCATAGACCTCTCCATAGCTAGCTAAGCGACGTTGAGCTTCCTTGTACTAGAAGGAGCATATCTGAGATAAAAAAATATCATAATACATCTACAAAATTGAATATTTAATTTAATCACTACAAAAATTGCAGAATACTGTTATTAATTTTTAGTAACTATTTATTATATATTTAATTATGAATGTTTAACTATTGCGTTTTGACAAGTCAAATTTATGTTATGAGCGTAGATATAGTATAGTACAGATTGGCCATGGAGTGATAAGGGCTAAACCAAAAATCAAAATACACCAGTGTGCGTATAATGTGCATGTGTGCCAAATAGTGCTGCACCATGCATTGCCCGCCTCAACATAAATTATCTATACAGATTGCAGTATATTCGTGTCTTCTGATTTGATGCAGATGATGTAGGTGAATATTTTTACCCAACTACGGCGAAGTCAAAAGGATGGTTACAATTTTAAAAGGCTACATATGTATGTACGTTCATCTGTTCCCTCAGATCTTCTAAACAACTCATTGTATATTGATAAACTAGATATCTTTAAAAGCATTGTGCCCTTTCGCGCGTTTTAAACTGCATGAAGTCACATAAAAACTAAAATAGCCTCTTATATTACCATATAATGAAACATTGAAATACATACAATATTTTTAAAAAAAACTATAATAAAGAAAAACTAAAACTAAAAACTTAAATTACATACAGTCCTACTCCCCTTGATATACCATTAAATAAATATTGAAATATTATATCTGGGTATCCAATAAAAGGTGTAATTCAGAATACTCTCGACATTCCAAAAATACATGTTATAAAATATAGTATTTTATAGTTAGTTTTTTTATAAAAGTAAAGTATCCAACGAACTTACAGTCCATCTGACGATGGTAAGTGGTTACTGCAGCCCATGGAAACTTGCAGCTAAACTCAAACAAAGAAGGTCATTATCACCTCTATGGACTGAAATGGAATACTGAATACCGACTACGAAATACGGACTAATACTGAATACGGACTAACAATTTTGCAACATACTTTATTCTAACAATAAAATAAGTTTCAATATGTAGTTTTATTAATTAGTGTTTATGGTTGGATGTGTTGGTTTTCCCTTAATGAATCTCTATATTACGGTTACAGGCTATTAATGTCCACTGCTGAACATAGGCCTCCCCGATGGATTGCCTCATATGGTTGGTATTCGCCATAGTTACCACGCTTTGCAAGCGGGTTGGCAACCGCAGTTTGTTATTTTTAGTCTTTATTAGGAAGACGCTGCTGCCCATCTCCTGATTTGTTTTCCTCTGTCGCCTCTTATGACACCCACGGGATGATATGGGGTAGTGTTTTTACACCGCCACTATACAGTGGGCACCTGAGAAAAACATTTTTCTTTAAACTACTTGCTGCATATAGTCGTATATATGCTTTTGGGAACCCATTCTTCTCTATTTATTATTTTCAACCATCTATCATTGGTCTAACGTCAATATTTTGTGAAAATCTGCCACAACATTCACTTACCATCAGGTGGATTGTGTGCTCGTTTGTCACCCTAAATCCATTACTTATACTTTTTTCATACGATTAGAAGCATATTTAGCTACGTAACCGTAAAAATTCAAAAAATTGCCATCAGATGGATTTTTTTATTAAATACGTCAAAAAATTCCATTCCAAAGGGTGGAAAATAGCTGTCCACTCTGTCCACTCAAAAGGATAAAATATAAACTTTTATTAGAAAGAGAAGCCGACTTCAAACAACTAGAAATAATAAAATAATTTTGACATTCTGAAATTGGTGCTTAGACATTTGGTATATAAGAATTAAAGTCCCTCAAACATATTCATGAAACATGCTAGTATACAAGTATTAACAGAAACAGAAACTTTTTTTTTCAATATAGATTATAAATAATACTTATTGAAAGTCACTCTTTTGTTTGATTACCACTGGTTCGGAAAAAAAAACCTCTGTCCTGGGAAGCACCAATAAGAAACCCAGCGGGACTTTTTTTTAAATAACAGCTTACAATCATGTATGTTACACAAATTAACAACACAACAAATTAGAAATAGCTTGATAGCGATCACCTCAATTCCAGGGGTTATTATCATCCATAAATTCCTTAATATTATAATAACCCTTTTTATACAAACTTAGTTTAATAAACTTTGAGCAGGTCAAATGTTGTATATTTTCTGGAATTTTGTTGTAAAAGCGTATACATCGCCCCAAGAATTAATTACTGACTCGAAGGAGTCTAGTAACTGGTACTACTAGCTTGTGCCTGTTCCTAGTATTTACAGAATGAATATCACTTATTTTTATAAAACTACTTTTATTTTTGTGTACGTACATTACATTTTCATAAATGTATTGAGAGGCCAAAGTTAATATATTACTTTACTTAAATTTTTGTCGCAGCGACTCTTTAGGCTTTAAATCATAAATTGCTCTTATGGCCCTCTTCGGTAAAACAAATATAATTTCAGTGTCAGCTGCGTGTCCCCATAGTAAAATATCATACGACATTATGCTATGGAAATAGCTAAAGTAAACTAGTCTAGCTGTTTCAACACTGGTTAGACTTCTAATCTTTTTTACAACATATGCTGCAGAACTAAGTCTGCTTGCTAGTTTTGATATATGGAGGCTCCATTGAAGCTTCGCGTCTAGTGGTGATTCCAAGAAATATGGTGCTATCTACAAGACTCAGTTTCTCCCCATTTAAAATTACATTAGTATTTAATTGTTTGTACATTTGGAGTCATGAATTTCATACATTTCGTTTTAGTGCCATTTAAATGCAAATTATTAACATTGAACCAATTTACTAATTTAGATATAGCATTATTTACTTCGTCATATTTTAGTAATTGTCGACTTAATTTGAAAATTAAAGAAGTGTCATCTGCAAATAATACTATATCATGGTTATCCCCTACTATGTAACGTAAGTCATTAATGTATACAAGAAACAGAAAGGGGCCGAGAATTGAGCCTTGAGGCACGCCCTTTGATTAAAATGGCAAAACTGTTTTTGCAAACTGATTTTGATGAATTGAACCGACTAAACTCACGGTAGTTGTTATCCGTTTTCTTTTAATATTTAAAAATATAAAAAGGAAATTTTACGACAACGAAGGTCTCGTGGCGGCAATTTAAGCATTACTATACCTGTTATTTTTGGGAAGGAACTGAAATTTGATAGACTTTTTTAGAATTGGACATCTACCATTAAAATTAATATAAATAATTACCGTTAGACGCTTCTTCTTTTTGTAACTAGCCCAATTCTGGGCCTCTAGCACTAATTTTCCTCCAGGGCGAAGGTCAGCAAACATGCGGCGGAAAGCGCGTTTCAAACCAGCGTCACCCCAATTCAGATGAAGCCATTTTGTGGTAGATAAACACAGAATCAAATCGAACTGTGGACTCTCCATACCCGAACCGACTGCTATATCCTCACGCGGGACATAGTTGCCCTGGAAAATTAAAGGCAGATTATTTTTAAACAGAAGAATTTCAGGTCGAAAGCAGTAGTATTTTCTTTAAATGGATCATATTATCCTAATCAACTTGCAATAAGATACGATAAAATAAATAAGATACGCATTTAATATACTTTGGCCCTAAGGCGAGCGTTCAGCGATTTACGTCTTAAGCATTCTGTCATTAAGTAGACTGTGTCACGTCTCTTCTTATTCTTCATCAGACCACAAAGCCTACTGCTGTACATTTGACCTCTCCTGTAATATGTAAGATTTGCCACAATAACCACGCTCAGCAGGTGGATTGACGATCTTAGTTAGACACTGCTCCCTGTCATTGTATTTTAGTTTATTATAGTATACCCTACGAAGCAATCTATGGGGGAGGCCTATATTCAGCAGTGAACTTTTGATAGGATGTTATGATGATATAAAATAATATGATTTTAATACAAGGTCAACACTGAAAGTTTTTAGAACTGGCCACTTGTAAACGATATAATAAAAAAATAAATTCAAATTTAGAAAATGGAGCTCTTTGCCATTATTATTGTGTATGTATTTTATTAATTTTTCATTTGTTTACGATTAGGCGGCAAATTGAAAATTGTCTTTGTCACGTCAGCATGAATTTACGTGCAGTGATTTTTTATGACTTTCGATGTCATTTAAGTCACTTCGTTTGGCCTTTCGCGATGAAGCCCCATCTCGTGCCACTGTTTACAACTGGATTAATGAGTTTAAACGTGGTCGCACTAATCTCACCGATGATCTATGCGAGGGACGGCCTTCTACGGCGACGACTGAAGATAACATCAGTGTTATGCAGCGTATGATAGAGACTGACAAAAGAGTGACTTATCAGCAGATTCAGACAAGCTTAGGCATTGGTATGAGTCAAGTGCACAAAATCCTCCGTGAACATTTAGCGATCAGGAAGCTTTATGCCCGGTGGATACCTCATAATTTGATAGAGGCCCAAAAACTCCGTCGTGTTGATTGGTGTCGTGAAATGGTTCAAAGATTTAACGGAGGTGACTCAAATGCTGTGTTCGACATACTTACGGGTGACGAAAGCTGGATTTATTGTTATGATCCTGAAACTAAAAGACAGTCTGCTGTCTGGGTGTTTTCTTCCGAGGGGTTGCCAACTAAAGTGAAGAGAGGTCGAAGCGTGGGAAAAAAGATGGTGACTGCGTTCTTCGGAAGGACAAGTCATTACGCAACAATTGTTTTAGAGGAGCGAAAAACAGTTACTGCATCGTGTGGTACACTAACAATTGTTTGCCACTCGTCTTCGGGAGAAACGACCTCGCAGTAGGATCCTCCTTCACCACGACAACGCCTCTTTGCACACCGCCAGGCAAACAATCGACTACTTGGCGACGTCAGACGTGGAATTACTGGGTCACCCGCCCTATAGCCCCGACCTCGCACCTTGTGATTTTTATTTATTTCCAAAAATAAAAGAAAAACTTCGAGGAAAACGTTTTATGGACACTGAGGAAGCGGTGGCTGCATTTCAAAATGCCGTCGAAGATACCCCTAAGCACGAGTGGGCAAAGTGCTTTTCTCAGTGGTTCCATTGGATGCAGCGGTATATTGATGTAAATGGACACTATTTTGAAAAGATATAATAAAACTAATAACTTGCTACTTTGTTCAGTTTTTGATTTTCAACTTTCAATGTCACCCTCGTAATAGCAAAGAAATAAGAATTATTAAAAATGATTTACCTGCTTAAAAGTAACATTGTATGGAAATACTGTTGGTGAGGTATCAGCTGACGTGTTGCCAAGTGGTCCATACAACAGTGACATGGACATTGGGAAGAAACATTGCCCCTGATCATGCTTATTTACAGCCTTTCTGTTTTTTCTTGGTTTCCTTATCTTCCTTCCCGACAATGACTTTTTACAATCATCCCCTTTATCTTGTTTATGGTCAGCAGAAATACAATCATCACATTTGGCTTCTTTACATTGATCACACTCAACCTTTTTGTCATCATCTACTTCTAATTTCTTATCGTCCTCTGTCTTTATTTCCGATGGAACAGGTATAAAAGCTTTTAAATTTTTTCTTGCTCTACCTAAAACATATATCAAAACAATAAGAATAAGGAGATATCATTTAATAACGAAGCATTAAAAACAGTTTATTTACAAGCAATATAGGAGTCAAATGAAAGAACATTACAGTAACTACATCTAGCAAAATGTATTAAAAATGTAAATTTCTACTTAACTGTTGTATTAATAAATGTAAGTTTATTGGATGATAAGCAATAGTTAACAAGTTAAAAGTGAATTTTCATCAACTCGTTATAAAAGATAAGAAAGCAAATAGCCAAAGAAACATTAATGACTTAATAAAATTAATTATGTACCAATGAGCACAGGGTCTATATCAATGCCAACAACTGATCTAGCACCAAGTGTACGTGCCACAGCTATAGATATGTGACCAACATTACATCCAATATCCAAAACATCCTTATTATGGAATAAATGCCTGTGCATCTCGAACACTTGTAGCCTTATATCCATCATTGCATTTAAATTACGATATCCGTAATACCTGGAAATATTAAAATTTCAAATTAAAATATTGCAATGCAGTATGACCAATACTCTGATTATAATCCATTCTACTGGAGCTTTACACATTTAATAAAAGGTAATGCTCTATCTGGCTGTCTGTATCACACAGATAAGCAGCAAATAGAAATAATTATTCTAATTTTAGTATAGTGATGCAACCAGCAGATCTTTCACCACATAGAAAAACGATCATAGGCTATCACTGCATTTCAACCAATTCCTCCCCATTCTAATCAACCCAAATTTTACGGGCAGTACAACTCTTTTTCTGTCTAGTAATCATTCTGGGTAAGTGTCATTGCCCACAAAGACCAGTGCTTGCACTGATATTAGAAGACGGGTATACAGAGACAACAATGTAATTATGTAAGGCATTCCATCTTAGTGTTCAGAGGTGACAATGTATCTATAGCCTTTGTTTGAAGTTATTAGGAGTATTGTAAGTCATTTTTTATAGGATAAGTGTGACAAATGAACACACAGTCCACCTTTACCCTCAAAAAGAATCCAAATGCAGATACGTCGTCACCCGTGAGGACTAAGATGGAATGCCTCATTTCCAGTAAAAAAGGTCTCCAGTTCTCTACATTCACCATACGGAACACAGCAGTGTTAAGCTGCTATTTTACACTGTTCCTTGCCCGGTCGAGCCGACCCATTCGTGCTACAACTATACTATTAATACAGCTGCAGCATGGCTCTACCATGTAACTTTCACTTTACTTTTGCAACTTTCGTTTTATAAGAATAATCCATAACTAGTGAACAGCTAGTAATGGGGCTTTCTTATAAGGGAGAATGTATTGCCACTAACAAAACACAATAATGTACCATTTTTTTACGTGGTAGAGCCATGCTGCAGCTATATTAGTAGTATAGTTGTAGCACGAATGGGTCGGCTCGACTGGGGAAGGAACACGCTCTCACAGAATACCAGTGTAAAATAGCTGCTTAATGCTGCTGTTTTTCATATGGTGAGTGTAGAGAACCGGATACCCTTTTTACTAGAAACGAGGCATCCCATCTTAGGGGTGACAACGCATCTGCATTTTAGTTTATAATCTAGGATAGATGTAGATCTCTGTGGGCCCCATCAACCACTTACCATCAGGAGGACTGTATGCTTGTTTGTTGTCTTTATTAAAAAAAAACAGTTTGAGTTAGACAGAGTTGGTCCGATCTACACAGAATGAGCTTATAGTATCTTGAAGTCTTGCAGTGGTATACTCGGGTTTGCATTTAATTTTATTAATTATAGGATCCCAAACAGAGGGCAGCACCCATCCATCTTCTCTATTAAAATTAAAAAACATCCTAATTTTAATTTCATTTTCAAAAGCATCTCTATTGAACAATCCTTAGTAGGAATGGGTGTCCTTTTGCGAGAATTTGTGGGCTATCAATTCTAATAATAAGTAAAGGCGAGGACGATCTTGAACATGTTCACAAACTGCAGACTTCCCATAACGTCGGTGCTTCAAGTTCAAGGACCAAAACTTAATATTAAAAAACAGAAGGTAACCGGGCCAACTATGACATCGGGATGTCAAACACCTCAGTCCTCCCTATGACCACGGGTGCTGTAAAGCACCTGAAACGTAGGGAATTAAAAAGTTAAATTAAACTTGATAGAATCCGTAAAAAAATTGTTTAATTTAATGTGTAGTTTTTGCGTACATACAAGAATTTTTCTTTTATCAATATAGCCCTTGGTATTGTGGTTATGTCACAACAATTCTACCAATGTCCAGTCTTTGGTCTGTCACACCTTGTCTTGAAGCTTCTCGGTGGAAAAGGAGTTGGTGGTTATTAGGTGAAAATGTGGATAAAAACAAAGCAACCAAATACACGAATTGTGGACAACACAATATAGGACAAACATCTAGTTATAGGGGGGGATTAGCCTGAGCAGGGAATAGAGAATTAGGTTAAGCTAAATTTAGTACACAATAATTAGAGTTTAATATTATATATTTGAATATATTTTGAGATCATATTGACATAATATATGGAATCAGGGATAGTTAAGAGGGAATTCGTACTCACTGGTCAAGGGATTGTTTTGGGAAGAATGTCATATAAAGAAATTGGGTGATTTTTACAATTGAAGAAAAGGTGGTTTGGAGTACCTTCATCCAGACCACATTCACAGAGGGAATGATCTTTGATTCTAATTTTAGCTAGAAATACAAGAGTGCAGACATGCCTGAGCCTTAAACAGCAGATTGTAGATGTGATTTGTTTGTTCAAAAAGCTAAATTTTAAAAACCAAAGTTTTGGAGGAATTTGGGGTTGGATTTTATCATAGTGACAACCTTTAATGTCTGGATATACTCCATTCTCTGTCCCAAGAATTCTTTAATTCAATTTGAGCTAATGACATTAGATCCTGAAAGTAATTCATTAAATGTGAAGAACAGCCAGTATCTACAGCTCCTTTGGCCCAGGAGTCAGCCTGTTCATTTCCTTCATCCACACAATCTCTACCTTAAACCCACTCTTATCACAATTTAGTATGAGTTCTTTAATTTTCAGTATTAATGGGGAGATGGATTTAATTTTAAATATATTGCTCTGTAAGAACATTAGGCAGCTTTTTGAATCAGCAAATATAACTGACTTAGGAACTTTATGGGAAAGAATATACGATATAGCCTCATATATAGCGACAGCTTCCCCAGTAAAAACAGAAGCCTGAGGAGGACGTCTATAATTAAGGACAATTTTATATTTGGTAATCCAGACTGCAAAACCGACACATTTGAATGAAAACAATTTGGAAGCATCAGTAAACTATATAGCCAATCAGGCCATTTTTTTGCTACAAGTATGTAGAAAATTCTGTTTGCAGTTGGGGAATTTTTATTAATGGATAACCAACATTTTTTAATCTATTTAGAGATTTAAGAATAGGGGGCCAGCCTTTATTAGGACCAATAGGAGTTGTTTACAACTAATAGTAGCAAAACTTCTAGTTTACGATGTAAGGGGTGAGATGTTAGTTATAGTGTTTTTGAGAGAAATCTATCAGCTAGAAACAGTCCTCGTAAAGAGAGGGGGGGGGGGGGGGGGGGGTATGAGCACATTCTACTTGTAAAGCATTTTTCGGAGTTGATTTCATTGTGACTGTGATAACACGCAAATATCTTGTTTGGATAACTTCTAAGTTAAGTCAAGTAAGTAAGTCTAATTTCCTACTAAGGGCCGATTTGTTGCGGGGCTCCAGGAGGAAAGAGCCATAGTCAAAGTGATTGTGGATGATGGCATTATTTAGGATTTTTGACACATGGGGGTGAGAACCCCACCATACCCCTGAAAGAGATCTAAGAATGTTAATACCTTGCTCACATTTGCCACTGATGTAATTAAAGTGAACGGTACCAGTCATATGACAATCTAAGTAAATACCTAAAAATTTTACTTTGTTAACAACTGGAATAGATTCACCATTATATGAGATATCAATAGTAGGAATGACACGTTTTCTACTAAAGGTTATTATTTTGCTTTTAGAAGCTGAAAGACAGAGGCCATGGTCAGTGAGCCATTGAATAAGATAATATAAGCCTCTGTTAAGATGATGGGAGGCAGTTAGGATATCAGAAGCTGTTACATAGATAGCAAGACCATCTGCATATTGTTATATATCACAGAAAGAAGAAATCGAATGTTCAAGGTCATATGTGTAAATATTATAAAAAATAGGGCGTAAAACTGAGCCCTGTGGTAGACCTTTCCAAATTGCGATGGGCGAGCTTAACATTCTTTTATTGTGAGTTTTGATAGATCGTCCCATGAACAGATTGTAAATGAAGTGTACAGTCTTCGCAGGGATGTTCAGATAAAGAATTTTCTGCCTGAGCACTGGAAGAAGAACACTGTCATAGGCAGATGATGTGTCTAGGAAACAACCCACCAAGTATTCATTTTTAGAAAAAGCCAACCTAATATCTGTAGTTAGAACACTCAAGCTATCTAATGTGCTATTCTCTTTACAGAACCCAAATTGACTTTTTGCAAGGAAGTTGTTACGTTCCAAAAACCATTCAAGTGTGTTTTTAATTAAGTGTTCTAAAATTTTGCAAAAAGTAGATGAAAGAGCAATTGGACGGTATGAAGAAGCTTCTTTGGGATCTTTTCCGGGTTTAAGGATAGGGATAACAATTTGGTTTGACCAAGACAGAGGAATATTAGAGGGTATATAGGTATTGTTCAGAATTTGGAGAAGAATTAATTTACCCTAAAACTTAATTTACATAACATGCATAGAGGATGCCATCTTCTCCAGGAGAAGAGGATTTTAAGCCAGATAACACAGACTGTAGTTCAGGCAATGAGAAAATTAGCTCATTATTGTTGATGGTAGATGAGACTGGAAAGGATGGGCATATTGCATATTCATTAGGGACAAAAGGAGGGGCTAACATATCAGAGAAGACTTCTAACCATGGTAGAGTGTTATCAGAAATGTTGCTATCAGGAAGAAGAGAGCCACGAATTTTTTTTTATATTTTTCCAAACTATTGTTACTGGTATGTTAGGGGATATGGATTCACAAAATTTTTTCCATCCACTTTTTTTCTTTTTGGAAAGAAGTCTCTTTCTTTGAGCAAAGGTTTTAGGTTTTTTGAAATTGTATAAAATTATCGGTGTGATACAGTGATTGTATAGCTTTTCTACTTTTAATCATAGTGGTGCATTCAGCATCCCACGATGGAGGGGAGGTTAGGTTTTTGCTGTAGGATTTTTTGATTGGGATAAATAAGTCAGCTGCCTTGGGTATATACTGTACCAATAAAGAGTAAGAAGTTGTTGGGTTGGTTGAGGAGTCAACCTGCATTTGGGCAAATTTAGTATCTAAAAATTAAGTGAAATTAGTCCTATCTGCATCTTGGAGCTGATATTTAAGAAGGGGAGTAGAAGAAGGTAAAGGAGTAACCGCACAGGGTTACAGTAAGAATGGGAAAGTGATCACTTCCATATGTTTGACTGAGAGTTTTCCAAGAAAGCTGAGGTACTAGACTAGAAGAACATGCTGTTAGGTCAACAGCAGACCTAGGGTCTAGAGTAGAGTGGGGGAACCATTGTTGCTGATGCAAGCATTAATGTCTTCAAAAATTTGTATAAGTTCTGAAGAGTATAGGTTACAAAAATGCGACCCCCAAGATACATGATGGGAATTAAAATCTCCAGTAATAATAAAAGGAGGAGATAAGAAAGAAAAAAAGAGAGGGTAGTTCTCAAATTAAGTGGGTATTTGGAATTTCGGATGTGGGATATATATTGAAATAATGTTGATTCCTGCTATTTTTGCAACTACGGCGTTAATGTTTTGGCTATGAAGAGGGAGTGTAGTTTGAGAAAAAGGTAGCGATTTTTTTATGAGTAAGCAACAACCACCATAACCATCATTTCTACCTTTATGGAGGCAGGTAAAGCCTTGTAAGCGAAATTTGGAACCACGTAGAAACCATGTTTCTGATATTAAAGCAACAGAAATTGTATGTTTATTACTTAGGAAGATAAAATCTGATCTTTTAGAGTGCAAGCTTCTACAGTTCCACTGTGGAAGATGGAGGTCTTTGGTTTGAGTAATTTTTATTATCTATTAAACTAGCTAAATTAAAGATTCTTTCTGCAACATTGTTCGGTAGCGAGTCTGACATTTTCAAAATTAAATTATTGAGGAGAGAAATTAGGCATTCAACAAGATTTTCATTTGGAGACATTTTGTTGTATGTATTGAATAATGCACATCCATTTGGAATAGAGGATGTGCAGTCTGCAACTATTCTTTGGTGGGCTTGTTGGTCATACCCCATGGGAATTCTAGGGATGGGACAGGAAGATTTAAAAATGGTTTTTCTATATGCCTGTGATGCGGTGGGGAGGTTGAAGGAGGTAGTAGAAGTAGGTGAAAGCTGGGTAGAGGCCACTTTAGAATATGATTTTTGAAGATAGTTCAAACGGACAGATGGGATTTTGGCTGAAGCTTCTATATAGGATATATTTTGTTCTGACATCATAATAGATTTCTGTCTATAGTGTACTTTTTTTTTTATTGAATAATGCACATCCATTTGGAATAGAGGATGTGCAGTCTGCAACTATTCTTTGGTGGGCTTGTTGGTCATACCCCATGGGAATTCTAGGGATGGGACGGGGAGATTTAAAAATGGTTTTTCTATATGCCTGTGACATGGTGGGGAGGTTGAAGGAGGTAGTAGAAGTAGGTGAAAGCTGGGTAGAGGCCACTTTAGAATATGATTTTTGAAGATAGTTCAAACAGACAGATGGGATTTTGGCTGAAGCTTCTATATAGGATATATTTTGTTCTGACATCATAATAGATTTCTGTCTATAGTGTACTGGACAATTTTTGTTATTAGCAAAATGGTTTTTGGAGCATAACAGACAAGTGGCCTCACTTTCAGGAACAGAAAAGCTTGCTCCAGTATGTTCTTGGGCACATTGGAAGCAGCGTGGTTTACAACACTGTTTGCACTGGATAGTGGGGAGGTGATAAGTTTCAAGGGCAAGGGACGTGAAAAATGCATATACATATTTGGGAAGTATCTGACCTTCAAATGTCAGAACAGATTGAGTAGGAACCCATATTGGGGATGATGACCCTTCAGCAAAAGTCTTTCTCCGAAAACGGCAAGCTTTTAGGATTTTACCACAACCATGGGGAAGCTCAATAGCTTCTGCTAGTTCTTCCATTGACCAATCCACAGGGACACCGCAGAAGACACCCATTCGAGAAACATTATAAGATGGAATTTTCTTTTTCAAGCTTTGGATTATTAAGGAATTTGTTAGCCTCATCTGCTGAGCTGAATTCAATAGAGATGCAATTTCTGCCAAGGCTTCTGACTCCCCCTCTTTTAATGTTTTCTATATTATTTTTTGACAAGCATAAACCTATTTTAATTGGTCGAAATGATAGCCCTATTCTAGGATCTGATTAATCTTAATCCAAGCTTAATCCAAAGCACATGTCGTCACCGGGAGGGTCAGGGGGTATCTCACGAGGAGACCCCGTTTCGTCACCCATAATTGGGTATATTATTCAATATTAGCTGTTCCCCGCGACTTCGTTCGCGTGTTAGGGTTTTTATGTTTTTATGCGGAACCCTAATTATTTTTCTAAAACAAAAGTAGCCTAAGTTACTCCTTATGAAATCAGCTATCTGCCAGTGAAAGTCCCGTCAAAATCGGTCCAGCCGTTTCGGAGATTACCCGCAACAAACAGACAGACAGACAAAAATGTTAAAAATTGTATTTTAGTTATAAGTACCGTATTTACTTTCATATGTATTTAGTAAAAAACTGTAATTTTTACATTACAAACAGACACTTCAATTTTATTTATTTCTATAGATAATTCATATAGCTATATCTTATAAATATTGTCTATTTACAGCAGAGGAAATCCACCACCACAAAATTAAGGAAAAGTACCAAATACTGAAAAGCACTCACAAGAACTTGTTAACCATTTGACCGTTGACCATAGACCATATATTAGAAATTATTTTGCTCTATCATTTTTTACTACTTGACAATAGAAAGAGACAGCTACACAGATATTTAATATTTAATTTAAGAGACAATCACCAATAATATGTCGGGCTATAAAGGTCTTATCGTTTGACAAAGTCATTGTTTATTTTCAAATGAATTATCAAATCTACAGACATCTGCGCTTTGATAATTTGGTATTTGCTAAATCTTTACGAAACCTTTTACACTATAATAATAGGAACATGATATTTGGAGTTGCCATTTCTAAAGCTAAGCCTAAAAAATAAAAGTAAAAGCGTTTTTATATAGTACCTGTCATAGTTTCCATACTGGTATCGTGAATTTTTCGGATGAAAGATAGGCAACTTCTGCTCCTTTTCATTATCATTTTTTGGCTTAGTGCGATGAGGCGATACTGGTCTCTCTGGTGGCACAGGGCGTTGTTGTGGTCTTGCCCGCATCCAGGCTCCTGGTTGAGGAACTACAGGGCTCACAATTTTATCCAATGAATCCATACGCCTCAACTTCTTATTGTCTTTTCCTTTCACCGAAGCATTTTCACTTTCACTGCATGACCTTTTTCTAGACTTGGAAGTTGAAGGTTCTGGAGGTAAAGGCTCTTTCATTTTTTCCTCTTTTTCTACAATTACTTCTACAGACGGTGAAGTATTATCTATTGTGCGACGCCTGATTCTAGGCTTCTTTTTAGACTTACGTTGCTGCATTTCCAATCGCTTTTCATATTCCTCATTGTCCAAAGGCTCCATCAAGTTTAATGGATCTCGAATATTTGGTGGGATTATCACATCTATTTTCGCTTTGTGTCTGGGTGGTGTTGGCAAAGGTGAAGATTCTGGTGTAACTGCATTCATTGCTCTATTTATATCTTCATCTTGTAGACTATTTAAGTTCAATGGATCCGATATATTGCCACCAAGCAGAAACTTTGTTGGTGGAATGAAAGCTTCCTTTCGTGGTCTTTTGTATGGAAGAAAAAATTTTGAAATTGATGGGAAACTTTGTGCTCTCTTTCTAAATTGTCGAAATTTTGTTCCGGTGTAATGAACCCTTCGTATTGCACTCCTGTCAATGCTGTCCTTTGTCGTCACATGACACTTCTTGCCGTGACGGGATTTCTTCTTTGGTTTCTTCGATACTCCAGGTCCAAGTGCATCTCCATCTTTTGTTAAGCTGATGTCTTCCACTGACGGAGCTACGGTCACAGAACCATATGTTTCATTAGAATCTGCTGCATCAGTATCGGAAATGTCTCCCGCCTCGTTTTCCGTATTATCAACCTCACTTTTTTCACAAACAGATACATTTTTTTCATGGCTATCCATCCTTTTTAATATATTATTAATTTATTTTTCATATTAATTTGTTATTACTCAAAAATCAAATTTGCCGCCACTTCAGATCTCACAAATTGTACAAGGACATCTGCCAATAGTGATAAACAGCGTCTAACAATGTTAATTAGAATGAAACTATAAATATATTACCTATCAATATATCTACAATATAATCTTGTTAATCTGATATTTATGTTACTTCTTTCAAAATATATCAAGAGAACATAATCACTTATTTCCGATCCCGTTTACACCACACCACAAACACACCATGGTGCTGTCTAAGAAAAATGGCAATTTGCAATTGACAATTAATATTTGACAAATGACAATTTAAAATGTTGCCATTTACCCATCGACTTGCCAAATTCAGAGAGATTGTTGTTTCTACAATTCGTCAATTAAGGCTGGCAAAAGTGAATACCATACAGCCTTATCTCATTTGTATTTCTTTTAAGTTCTCCACAATATGCTGATGTGTCACATCGCGATTCTGACGACAGCTTGTAGATGACGATATTTATTTTTACAGCAAGACGATTTTTTAATAAAGAATAAGGGCATACGCATACACAGTCCGCCCACCTGATGTTATGTTAATGATGCGGCCCATAGCCATTAACAAATATTATTTAGACGTGGTAAAACCACGTTGCAGCTATATTATGGTTGTACCATGAATGGGTCGGCTACACAGAATACAAGCGTAAAATAGCCGCTTAATGTTGCTTTGTTTCGTATGGTGAGTATTGAGAATTAGAGAATTTTTTTTATTGGAAATGAAGCGTTCCATCTTCGCCCTTAGGGGTGACAATGCATCTGCATTTGGATTCTTAAATTTTTATATAGAGCAAGGTTGACAAACTCCCACACGAGGATTTTCTTTCGTATCGTGGAGGCAGTTTACATACATTAATTGCGTGTGATGTCCATGTGGCATTCGAACTTTTAACTCTCAGTTCTGCAAATCAATGCTAAGCTAAAGTTACGGAGCCATTAAATTATAATTTTGTAAAATATACACGCAAAGTAATTTTCGAACACTGCAAAATACAAGAAACGGGCGGTTGCCATACCGAGCGTGTAGTTACCGTACCGTGCGCAAATCTGCCCGTGTAATATGCGATGTGTACTATTGGGTTGTTCCGAAAGTAATTTCGTTTTTTTACATATTGTCTACTTTGGTCCAATACTTATCCCTTTTGTTATCGTTCGTGTAGTAGCATGATTCCACGCTCATAAAATGTTTGTTTTTTTTCTGGCAATAAATGTGATCCAGGCGGTTTATGAAAGGTTTTACCAATTAAAAAATTTGTCCAGCTGATGACAGTATACTCAGAATTGATCGCTGTGTTGTCAAGTAGAAGCTCAAAACTAACGATATCTTTGAAATCCCATGAAACAGATTGCATCACCTTTTTATTTTTTGATGAGTATTGGCTTTCAAAGTGCTTTGAGCCGGATTATTTTTTTTAACAATGATCTCTTGCGGTTAATATTGTTGTAGACAATTCATTTCTCATCGTCAGTGATGATGCGCTTCAAAATGGATCATTTACTTGACGTTTGAGAAGCAAATCACGTAAGTAAACGCGATGTCACTAATTTCTTTCCGTAAGAACAGGAACCCCGTGCCGAGATTTGAGATTAAACCCAGGCGTTTCAAATGATCATGAACGGACGAATTTGATAAATGTATTCTTTCAGAAATCTCACGAGTTATTATTCGCCGGTTCGTATTAATTATTGGCTTTATTGTGTCTTCATCAGCTTCAACTGGCCTTCCAGAATGTGGTCTACTTTATGTCAATACATTATCTCCTGTTGAATATTTACTTTTTCGATAATAAAATAGTAAAAAATGTCGATAACGCTGCTTTTCACATATCATATGCGAAAGGGTACTAACGAAAAACTACTGGCTGAAATCAATAGAACTTTTTCACAAGCATGCCTTGATATATGAGCTGTCAAAATATACAATGGTGCATAACCAACGAGTGTGTATTTGGCTGTGAAAAAGAAGTTCTCTGTTGATAAAAAAACGAAATTACTTTCCGAACAACCTAATAGATCGCCACCCCATGGCGGCCCCTCCTCGGGAAAGTACTACGCCTCCCCATCTCATTCTCAGCTAATGCGCAACAGAACACATGGCGCGCCCTCCTCCGTGGCATCCAACTTCACATGACCAAAGAACGCCCCCGTGTCCAATGCTCAAAGGCCATAGGGCCACGAAAAACTAGCACTTAGAAGCACCAGCCTTCCTGGCCCCAGCGGCAGATCTGGTCTATGGTCAACCAAGATTCGGCTGCTGAGGCTAGGAAGAGCGGCGTCTCGCAACACCAATCCTCGTCTCCCCCCGCAGTCCCACCACCACCGAATCAATAAACGGTGCGGCCAGGTCAGAGTCACGGAAGATAGGGCGCGTGGCACATCACCACACCAACACTCCTCTTCCCTAGCGACTCCACCTCGGCTGCAGCGGTAAGGGGAGAGGGCACCCCTCCCGCCGCAGCCCACCGATACACATCCGAAGTGGGCTTGCCAAGCCCACTCAGAGTGGCCACCTCGGGCCAGCCAAGGGGAGCTTTGTTCACCGCTGGTGATCAAGCCATGGCTACTAAGCCCCTAACCCCACCACGACAAAGCGAGAACCCCCAATTTTAATGCCTCTGTGGGTATGAGCGCGTGGGCATTTTCCGCGCGCATGATTCACGCTGTGAGTCTAGGGGATGATTAACCCTTTGGATCGGTCTGCCTTCTTGTAAAACATTTTATAATAGTTTTCTGGTTAACATATATAAAAATAGAGCTTCAGTATGTAAGTAAAATTGAGTAATTTTTTGAGAGCCTTAAAGAGTCTGCAAAGCCATATTGCCGATGGAAAGTGTCTGGGAGTATTGGCGACTGATTTTTAACGATAATATCTAACATATACGTAAAAATCAGCTGGGAAAATAAACGTGAAGCTAGCAGGTAGTCATGCGATCATAGTACATACTAACACTACTCAATCTTACACATTCCGTTTGTCAGAAAATAATTGACGTCTCGTGACCCTGGGATCTTGCTCTATTTCAAATATGTTCAAAATTTGGTTGTGTTCCAAAATAATAATGATAATTAATGAAAAATTAATCTGTTTTCCATTTCTTCTTAATATCATTAAAAAAACAATATAAGACTATGTCTGATGTAAAAAACGTACGATAATATCGTTGTTTTTAATATAAAGACTTAGAGTGATAGTGTCATTCAAAATTCCGCTCAAAATTGAAGCAACAACATAATGTATGTTTGAATAAGCGGCCTATAATTAGGTTTGCCCGCACGCACACAAGCAAATGAGTAACGTTTGCAAGTAAATGAGATTTTCTCCAAAAAGTGGGGAAAGTGCGTAGAGGGAGTATATACAATAGAGTAGTCCTTGCCGTATACCTAAGCGGGATAGCAATAGTTTAAGGTTAGTGTTGCCGATGATTCTCTATTTTCATTTCCTTGATTTTTGGGAAAAGTAAATTCTGTTTACTAATTATAGGATTCAATACAGTCTTTCAAAAATATGTAAGTAGTACATTAACCTCCTGAGATATATCTTATTAGGTTGATAGTAGTTCATTAACTTCCTAAGATATATATTAAAAGGTTAATGTACTAAATTGAAAAATAAAACGATTATTTTTATTATATTTTAAATCGCTTTATTTTGCGTTTTGTCTTTTCCTTGTATAATCAGTATTTTTATATAATGTTTTGCTATGTATAACGTCGTCGAAAGTACTGCGGTTTTTTTTCAACCTCCAGGCTCTCGACCTTAACACTGCAATCATCTTTTTTCTTGTGTCAGCTAAGCAAGTTTTCTCGCACAAAATTTTTCTTGGCTTTCGTTTACGAGGCGTTTCATCCAATTCACTGGAAGGAAGAACGCTAGGTATGTTGTTTTCACCCTGCAATTTTAAAAAATTCACATAAAATTTTGGGAATATATATTAATTATTTATGTTATTAATTCAAACGGCTATTTGTTTTTTAATTTATGGAAGGATTCTCAAATTTCTTAACAACTTCTTTGGGTCCTTTAGTACTATGCAGACTAAATTTTTGTTCAAAAATGGCATTGGAACTGTTTGTGAAATAAATCGCATATAAAAAAATTGCTGCTTTTAAGAACTTATTAAATTGAAATCTTTCAATTTAGAATAGAATAGAATAGAATGATTTTTATTCAATATGGATTATTACATAATACTTATTGAAAGTCATTATTTTATTTACCACTGGTTCGGAAAACACCTCTGTCCTGGGAAGAACCAGCAAGAAACCCAGCGGGACTTTTTTTTTAAACATAATTTCACTTAACAATAATTTTGTTTATACAATTTTAAATGAATTATTCATAGAACCAGCATGGTGGCGATCACCTTATTCCCAGGGGTTATTTTCATTCATGTATTCCTTGATATTATAATAACCCTTTTTGTACAGTTTTTCTTTAAACTTTTAAACTTGTTTATTGACAAACTTTGAACATGTTCTGGGATTCTGTTGTAAAAGCGTATACATTGCCCCATAAATGAATTACTAATTCTGTGGAGTCTTGTAAGTGGCATTACAAGCTTATGTTTGTTCCTAGTGTTTAAGGTATGAACATCCTTATTCTTATTAAAGCTATTTATGTTTTTATGTACATACATTACATTTTCATAAATATATTGCGATGCCAAAGTTAATATGTTTATTTCTTTAAATTTTTCTCTAAGGGACTCTTTACAATTTAGATTATAAATCGCCCGTACGGCTCTCTTTTGCAAAACAAATATAGCTTCAATATCAGTCGCATTACCCCATAGCAAAATTCCATAAGACATTACGCTATGAAAGTTACTAAAATACACTAACCTAGCTGTCTCAACATCTGTGAGACTTCTAATCTTTCTTACAGCATATGCTGCAGAACTAAATCTGCTTGCTAATTTAGATATATG